CACCATGCCCAGCTAATTTTTTGTATTTTTAGTAGAGACGGGGTTTCACCATGTTGACCAGGATGGTTTCGATCTCTTGACCTCGTGATCCACCCGCCTCGGCCTCCCAAAGTGCTGGGATTACAGGCGTGAGCCACCGCGCCCAGTCCTTTTTTTTTTTTTAAGTTGGAGTTGTTGTCCAGGTTGGAGACTGGAGTGCAATGGCGTGGTCTCGGCTTACCGCAACCTCTGCCTCCCGGGTTCAAGCGAATCTCCCGCCTCAGCCTCCCGAGTAGCTGGGATGACAAGCGCCCACCACCATACCCAGCTAGGTTTTTGTATTTTTAGTAGAGACCGGCTTTCCCCATGTTGGTCAGGCCAGTCTCGAACTCCCGACCTCAGGTGATCTGCCCGCCTCGGCCTCCCAAAGGGCGGGGGTTAGAGATGTGAGCCACGGCGCCCGGCTGTTTTTCCCATCAGTAGCATATATTTTCGGTTGTCAGTTACACGCAATGCATCTGTGATCAGACACAGCAGGAGGGCTCCGCGAAGCCTACTTTACATTTCAGCAGCAGTTTCGTCAGTAACGTAAATTGAGGAATACAGAAACCTCACCGACAGGTTTCTTTCTCACCTTTTTGTAAGGAGCCTCAAGCATTGCTTCAGTATCAACGTCGTCTGCCATGTTCTCTACACGCCTGTGCCGGCTTTCGGGCACCTGTGGGGCCGACGTTCGGGAAGAGACCGCTGCCGCTGCTGCTACTGCCGCCGCTGCTGTGGCTACCGTTCAGCCGCAGGCGCGGTGGCGCGTCGGGCTCCGAGGACCGTTAGGCCAGCGCGAGCCGAAATCTCGCGAGACGGCGCGAGTCTCTAGGGCAAAGGCAGTTGGTGGACGGCCTGTCAATCAGAGGGCGCCTGGCCATGTGGAGCTCCGCGTTGGCCTCCCGCTCGTGGCGCCCCCTCACGGCCCCAGAAAGTAATATTTGAACGTTCCCTGGGCGTTGTACAAATGTCCGGTTCCCTGTTCACAAGTCACTTCGTCATTTCTTTTTTTCTTTCTTTCTTTTTTTTTGAGACGGAGTCTCTCGCTATCACCAGGCTGGAGTGCAGTGGCGTGGTCTCGGCCCACTGCAACCTCCGCCTTCCCCGGGTTCGATCGATTCTCCTGCCTCGGCCTCCTGCGTAGCGGAGACTCCAGGCACGCGCCACCGCAGCCGGCTCATTTCTGTATGATTAGTAGAGCCGGGGTTTACGCCATGTTCACCAGGATCGGCTCATCTCTTGGCCTTGTGTACTGCCCGCCTTGACCTCCCAAAGTGCTGGGATTACAGGCGTGAGCCGCCGCGCCCGGCCAGCGTTCCCATTTCACAGTTAAACCGACTGAGAGGCTGGGGGCGGGTCAGGACTCAGGGCAGAGACCCAGGTTGAGCCGCTCCCAGCGCTGTCTCCCGCATCTTACAGCAACGACCTCCCACGGTTCCCGCTCTGAAATACAGTCCAGCTCTGTCTTTTTTTTTTTTCCTCTACCCCAATCCGGTTGGGGACAGTTTGGACCCACCACTACCCTGTTGACGCCCCTGAGCCCTGCATTTTTGCTTACTACACAAATATGCACTGCTCACCAAACAACGAAAAGAGAAGCCACTGTGCTTACTAGACTTTTGAGACAGGGTCTCTGCCTGTCCCCAGGCTTGAACGCAGGGGTGTGGTCATGGCGCATGGCAGCCTGCACCTCCCAGGCTCAAGCAGTCCTCCCACCTAAGCCCCGGGAGTAGCTGGGACTACAGATGCCCGCCACCATGCCCGGCTAATTTTATTCATGTTTTGCAGAGATGGGGTCTCGTTAGGTTGCCCAGGATGGCTGGCTGGACTGTTGAGCCAAGGAAACGAGCGGATCCCATCACCTGAAGGGACCACGTCCTTGAATAATGGACAGCCACCACTTCTGCACTATCTATCCACCGTATGGGGGTTTGACAGGCCTCTCCAGGCCTGGATCTGCGTCTAATGTAGGGTTCAAGTCATGCAGGCCCGTGGGCCCCTGGAAGTCACTACAGAGCGCTTCTCCACTAAGCGCTTCGCAGGCGTTCCTTGCAGCGGCTGCGGGGCCCGGCGGCGCCCTCCGTTAATGCCGGCAGCGCCACCAAGCGGCCAGTTGGGAAAGAGCCGCCACCTCACTCTAGCGAAGCGGGGACCAGGAGCGGGTGGGGAGCGCCCCGCTTCGGTCGCGATCGGGTGGACACCATCCCGGCGGGGAGGAGCCAAGATCTTTCTCTAGGTTTCACTCTGGTATCCAAGACCTCAAGAGTTCCTGCGCAGATGGCGCTGAACCCATGTCTGGGGCTTGTATGTGTTCTCACAGGTCTGACCTTGAGAGGGTGGAATGTACCTGCAAGGCAAGCACTGTCAAGAGGTGACTATCTCCTGGGGATGTCGTCGGGGTATTCACATGTATGACTGAGGAGAGGGTGGAAATAAATGGGGGTGGGAAGAGAAAGTGGACGGACCATCATTTTTACTTTTTTTTTTTTTGAGACGGAGTTTCACTCTGTCACCAGGCTGGAATACAGTGGCGTGATCTCGGGCACACACCACCATGCCTGGCTAGTTTTTGGTATTTGTAGTAGAGACGGGGTTTCACCATTTCGGTCAGGCTGGTCTTGAACTCCTGACCTCAGGTAATCCACCCACCTGGGCTTCCCAAAGTGCTGGGATTACAGGCATGAGCCACCTTGCCCAGCCCATTTTTAATCTTGTTCCAGGCTCTCCAAATGTTAGGGACAGGCCTGGGAAGATAGGCATGGGGACTGACAGGTGGGGTGTCATTGCAATTTTAAATAGAATGGCCTTTTACTAAAGAGGAGGAGGAAAGGAGTGGCATGTGTGGCTATCACTGAAAGTGTCCTCCAGGCCCAGGAAAACAGTGCGAAGGTGCAGAGGCAGCCCTGTGCCTGGCACGCCCGGGAAAAGTAAACCTGGGTACTCCCCAGGCGCCGTGGCCCAGGGGACCTGCCACATCTGTGTTTGTGCAAAACCTAAAAGAAATAGGCCCTCCATCAATGTTGGGTTGAATGAATGAATGGTCTCACCTCCTGGAGGAGCCGCTCCCAACAGCACACAGCTGCCTCTTCTTCCCGGCTCTGTGCCAAGGGGCGTTTCCACTTTGCTTTGATCCCGATGACCAGGCACTGCTATTCTTCAGGCCAGGATTTCCCCAATCCTTGCTGTTTTGAAAACTACATTCCGGTTCCCTTGAAACTCCCTCCTTATCACCTCCATTTTCCTGTTTTCATCTCCCGCTCCTCGGCACCCTCCGTCTCCCCACGGTGTCCCCATGACATTGCCTGCATGCCGGTTCACCCCAGCCTGGGAGCTTCTCAGGGATGCCCAGGCCGGACATGGCTGCAGACAGAGCTGAGAGGGCAGCCTCGGGTGGGTGGTGGCAGCCTCCAGGCTGTGGGGGTGGAAGTGAGGGCCTGGGAGGTGGCAGCTCAGGCTGACAGAAGGACAAAGTCAGAGCTCGGAGATGTGACCTGATAGGTCTCAGCCATGGGAAGGAGTTTGGGGATTTACCCAGATAATCAAAAAAGACCAAAAAAAAAAAAAAAAAAAAAAAAAAAAAAAAAAAAAAAAAAAAAAAAAAATAAAAAAAAAAAAAAAAAAAAAAAAAAAAAAAAAAAAAGACCTATTTTTGGGGACAGCTCATAAAGTTTTGACCTCACATAGAGCCTGGGTCTCAGATTTTCTGTGGGTGGCTTCTCAGGTTCCCTGCTACTGCTCTGGGCACCTTCTATCCTCAGAGACAGAAGGGCTCCCCAGGAGGGGACGGTGCATGGTGGCCCCCTTTTAGTGAACACGGATACAGCTCTCCACTTTTGAGGCTGCCATCTCCTGCCCCGTTGGCACACGCTGCCCTCCCTCCTGCCCTTCCTGCCCTCCTCTGCATCTGCTCAGCTATAGGCCTGAGCACAGGTGGCCTTGTCCAGGAAGTTTGTCCTGGCCAGCAGGCCCCACCTCCTAATTCTAGGTTCTGTTAATGGGCCCCCCTGGTGAGTGATGCTAGTCTTCTACTTTGTTTGTTTTCTTTCTCAAACATTTTCAGGCTGGGCACAGTGGCTCATGCCTGTAATCCTAGCACTTTGGGAAGCTGAGGTGGGCGGATCACCTTAGCTGAAGAGTTCGAGACCAGCTTGTCCAACATGGCGAATCCCCATCTCTACAAAAAAAAAAATTGGCTGGGCATGGTGGCAGGCATCTGTAATCCCAGCTAAGGCTGATGCAGGAGAATCAGTTGAGCCTGGAAGGTGGAGGTTGCAGTGAGCCAAGATTGCACCATTGTACTTCAGCCTGAGATACAGAGTGAGACCCTGTCTCAAAAACAAAGCATTTTCAGAATACAGGCACAAAGACAGGTTGCTCTTCCAGACTTTAACATTTATATTTAATACTAGCAACCAAGGGTGACAATAAACGATGTTGCGTTTGGGATGGCATAGACCAGGGAGTGGGGTGCATGGCATTAGAGCTGTGTCCTAGAAGCCCGCTGCCGTGCAGACGCTATCCTGTAGTTGGCAGAGTGTGCAGGCTTTAAGAAGGTCTTGAGGGAGGAGGAATCAGGAATACTAGGGTAGCCAAGGACGTCCAGAGGCTCAGGAAGCAAGGATTTACCATCAGAATTGGAAGCATTTCAGTAGTTCTTTCCTTTTTCTTTTTATAGTTTTATTTTATAGATGTGGGGTCTTGCTGTGTTGCCCAGGCTGGTCTTGAACTTCTGGGCTCAAGCAGTCCTCCCACCTTAGCCTCTCAAAGTGCTGGGATTACAGGCATGAGCCACCATGCCTGGCCTCTTTTTTCCTTTTCTTTTTTTTTTTTTTTTTAAAAAGGGGTTTCACCTTTTTGACCAGAATGATATTGAACTCCTGCTCTCAGGTGATCCCCCCACCTCTGCCTCCCAAAGTGCTAGGATTACAGGCGTGAGCCACTGCGCCCGGCCCGGCCTCTTTTTTCTTTATTTGAGACAGGGTCTTGCTCTGTCATCCAGGCCAGAGTAAAGTGGCATGATTATAACTTGCTTCAGCCTCAAGCACTGGAATTACATGGCTCACACCTGTAATCCCAGTGCTTTGGGAACCTGAGATGGGAGTTCCTGGCCTCAAGGGATCCTCTCAGCTCAGCCTCCCAAAGCCTCGGGATTACAGGTGTGAGCCATGGTGCCTGGTGGATTTCAGTATTTCAAGAACTGGTAAGCCTGTCTGAGTCGGTGCATACTGGCTGAATATTACCTTGCATAAGCTCTTTGAGGACATTTATCATCCCAGTTTACAGATTAGAAAACTAAGATTCAGGGAGATTAGTTCAAGGTCACCCAATTATAATGTGATAGAGCCAGGGCTCTTACATATCTTGGCTGATTTTGTGTTTTTTGTTTTTTTTAGATCAAGTCTCACTTTGCCACCCAGGCTGGAGTGCAGGGACGCTATGTCATCTCACTGCAACCTCTGCCTCGCAGGTTCAAGCGATTCTCCTGCCTCAGCCTCTCGAGTAGATGGAACTATGAGCATGCACCACCATGCCTGGGTAATTTTTGTCTTTTTAGTAGAGATGGGGTTTCACCATGTTGGCCAGGCTGGTCTTGAACTCCTCACCTGAGGTGATCTGCCCACCTTGGCCTCCCAAAGCATTGGGATTACAGGTATGAACCAGCATACCCAGCCTCTTGGCTGAGTTTGAAGCATGAGTTTTGAAGCAGTGTCTTTTAGGTGGAGACGAGGTGCCACGCAGAACACTTCCTGGGCCAGGCCTGGGTCCA